AGAAAGTCCCTAAGGAGGAAAGCAGTCTCTGCTGTTGATGTGCAAGAAAATTCTTTCACATGTCAGCTTCTACAATTATTTTACCATGCTTGGGTCTCAGATAGTCTATGACAGATTTGATTTATGAATTAATGTTTTTATTTACCTGCTTATTATTTTTCACTATTTATTTCATATGTTTTTGAAAACAATTATTAGGGATCACGCTGTCCCTTTAATAAGCTTGAAATGTATTTTTCATAAACAGGTGACACACATACCAAACGAATGCACACACCACTGAAACCACCGTCACAGCAAAACAACACAAGCCAGAAAGCAACAGGCCGTGGATCCCAGGACCCAAGTCTACTACACCTTCAGTGACTCCCGTTTTTGTTCCATCCGCTGCTTTTCATACTGCATCTGACCCACTTTGATTTTCATGCTAGAAAGTTTGGCCATTAAAGACTGGTAGAGAGACAGAGGAGTGAAAGAAAACTACAGATAGAAAACGACAAGCTAAGTAACCAACAAAACAGCATCGGTTTATAAAGGAGGTTAGATATCACTCACAGAAATGGCAGGTTATGTTCTGTCAGATTAGTTAAGCCTTGGTTTTTATTCAGAACAGCAGTGTCTAAATTCAAGAAGCTTCCCAGCTTGGGGGAAAACTTCATTCACTTACAAAATACCTTCTTTAGCATATACGAAGTAGAAAACATATTTTACTTATATTATTGGTCATAGGTGAGTAGTAGAGCCATTTGTTTAAAAATTTTAACCAGTGAGAAAACTTACTTTGGTTGATTTAAGCTTTTTTTCATACTGAAGTCTCTCGCTGTCCATTTCGCTGACTTTTAACCTCAAATCATTGATCTCCTGAATTAGCCCCTGTCCAAAAAGAAACAAGGAAATACATTAGGGAAGTGGTAACACAGTTATATATACCAAAATAGCAGCTTGGAAATCTTAAGAAGACAATAGCTCCTAGGTTAAACTTGTATGAATCAGATCAGACAAATGGAAATAAATGTATCTCCTTAAGAACCAATGCATCTTTCCATTACTGTGGTCCCCAAGCCCCACTACTAGTCTGTGGCCTGTTAGGACCAGGCCTCGGAGTTAGAGTACCTGTCCCCCAGTCCGTCAGTGGGGAAAAAAAGCGGGGCAGCAAACAGCAGCAGGTTAGCGGTGGGTGAACCAGCAAAGCTTCAGAAGCTTCACCTGTATTTACAACTGCTCCCCATGGCGAGCTGAGCTCGCATCACCACCTGAGCTCCACCACCCCCACCCCCACCCCAGTCAGTGGAAAATTTGTCTTCCATGAAACCGGCCCCTGATCCCAAAAAGGATGGGCACCGCTGATTTAAAACATTGCTTTGAATTCCCAATGCCTCTGTCCTAAAATGGTGGGCTTATGAAAATAAAAGGTGACTTATAATTTTGATTAAGAAAGGTAGCTTAATATCTGATTTACTATCATCTGTCAGATATTTCTAGACCAAAAATGACATATGAACTCTACCTTTTAAAATATGCCACATTCTTTAAGAAAGGCATTTACCTAGGGCCTTTTCAGTGATATATGGGTA